GAATTTAAATTTTTAAGTGGTTCATGATATAGATCATAGTGATTAGGATATGAAAAAAGAAAACAAAATTTTAAATTTCAAATTTATTTTTTTTATGTTTTCTTGCACCATTTGTTTTGTGTGCATTTTTCTCGACATCCATCTTAAGATGGATGTTGGATGATCAGGGGACCGCATGCGCCATCTGATTCATATAATACTTTTCCAAACTTAAGTAATTAAAGAATAATATCCGGAGTATATTTATTTTAAACAAGACAATCTATCTTAAATAAAATTAATGATGCACATAATCTAGGCTTATCAAAACTTGAGGGAGTAGGAACTTAGGATCCATAACCTAATTTTTTATCTCTCTTACAAGAGCCTTCCCTTCAATCTCTCTTTTGTTTTGCCGTTCTCTCCAAAAATAAGAGCCATGCACCTCTTACCCTATCTACTCTATCCAATCTTATCAGAAATACCCACTATCTCAGTCAATATTGTCTAATTTGTTTCGCAGTCTTCTTCAGTTTGGTCGATTCTCAGTTATAAACATGACCAAGATTGCTTAATATAAGATTTTGTTTTTTTTATAAAAGAGTTACAATCACTTTTAACCATCAAACATGAAATTTAATGATTGTACATCACAAAATTTGAAATAATTTTATAAATTTTAAACCTAATCTGGCCTAATTTTGCATCATATAGATAAAGTTATATTGTGACGTCATGTACAAAAAATAAAGAGTCTTATTATACGTTTTCTCAACACAATTATTACTCCCAAAGGGTACACACCACCACTCGCCAACAACATATCACCCTATACTCCTACCTACAACTTCAAGAAATTTCAATCCTCACTCGTAAAACTCTTGTTTTAAGAGGTCAGATTTACTGTAGACGAGAGAGACAGAGAGAGGTTATTGGGGTTTCGAGGCCCTCCAACAAGCATTCGCCATATTTTATTCAGGGAAAAGTTTAGACTAGGCTCAAAACATCAAATTAGAGTGTACCTCCAAACTTTCACTAAAAGAGTTGTTTTGATGTCCAAATATCTTTAAATTCATTTTTTGGCCGTCAATTTTCAAGAATTTTATGTTTTCATAGATCTGCTTGATCTATACTATTTTTTAAGCTTTAAATTTTATAATTAGAGATAGAAATATATTTTAGGTTGTCACAAAGATATCCAATATAGAAACCATATTTCTCAACACTATTTGAAAATGGGCTTTAATTTGTTTGTTTATAGCCTCAGGTCTATCAACCGCACCCTTTTTTTAAACCAGATATTTTTTAAGGGAGATAAAAATATTGCATCATTTTTTAGGAAAATTATAAATAAAAAAAAACTTGAATACAACACTTTCTATGCAACTTATCCCAAACTTAACTTTTTTTTTCACTTTTTTTATCCAAAACAAACTTTCTATGCAAATACCCAAGGAAGAAAATTTATTTTTTTAGATAAAAATGCCCTTCCCCTACACAAAAATCATTTTGACCAGATTTGCCGTTGACTTTTGGACCCCAATAGCACATTGCAGGAGATTTGATATTGACTTTTGGATTTGACGTTGACTTTTGGACCCCAATAGCACATTGCCGGAGATTTGATATTGACTTTTGGACCACATTGCGGAAGCACCTCACATCGCCAGAGCGCACAAGTGCCGAACTGCCCTAAGACAACTATCAGATCGAAACTGAGTAATGTCGGACCGCCCTTTACATAGTGCCGAAGCCCTACTGCCGAACCACATTTTATACATTATGGACGCCCTATTGCCGAACCGCATTCCACCCTTTACATGGTGCCGAAGCCCTACTGCCGAACCACATTTTATACATTATGGACACCCTATTGCCGAACTGCATTTTACACAGTGCCGAAACCCTACTGCCGGACCGCACTTACACAGTGTTGGAACCCCTATTTTGGTGGGATAGAAGACATTTTACACAATGCCGAAGCCCTACTGCCGGACCCCCTATTTTGGTGGGATAGAAGACATTTTACACAATGCCGAAGCCCTACTGCCGGACCCCCTATTTTGGTGGGATAGAGGATATTTTACACAGTGCTGAAACCCTACTGCCGAACTGCATTTACATAGTGTTGGCACCCCTATTTTGGTGAGATGCACCCCTATTTTGGTGGGATAGACGAGAGAGAAGTGGGTAGGATAAAAGTAAGGGAAAGTAGTTTTAAGTTTTTTTTTTTTTTTATTTGATTGAGGGTATTTGCATAAAAAAGGTATTTTGAGAGAAAAAATGAGAAAAAGCTAGGTTGGAGGCATAGTTAGCGAATCGGCAACTTTTCAAAAAATCAGCGATTTTTTAGAAAACCTTTTAAATGCCGCTTTTTTTAAAAGTTCAGTAAGAAATTGTGATTTTTTCAGAATTCCGCTAAAAACGCGTTTTTTATGAGGAATGATAAAAATGGGACAAAAAAAAAAGAGAACTTTTTTCCTAATCTATGTAATTTCTACATAAACATATTATTTTTAAAAAAAAAATCCGAAAATGGAAATTTGTTTAATTTTTTTTCAAATCATTAGTTGTTCAGATTTTTTTTGAACGGTTTTTTTGAACCATTAGTTTTGCAGATTAGTTGTTTTTTTTTTTTGAACAGAAATTAACGTGCAGATTTTTGTTTGAACCATTAGTTCTAAGCCTGAAGTCGTGCAGATCTTTTTTTGAACCATTAGTTTTTTTGAACCATTTCCAAGCCAAGAACCAGTAGTTTCAGGGGAAGAACAGGCCGACAGGGATTACCTCATAAAACCCCAGACTTTCACTCCCTCTCTGGACACCTCTCAATGGCTTATTCTCCTCAAAAACTATGACCGCCTCAATGTGAGAAACTTAAAACAGGCCATTACACCGTCATTTGCCCTTTCTTCTCTCCCGAAAGGCCCCTTCCAGTTCGGGTTTCCGTTTCCCCCTTCGTAGAGTTTTATACATCATCCCAACCGTTGTCCCCCGTTCGATTTAGTGTCATGTACCTTCTTTAAAAAGAGGAGAGAGAGAGAGAGAGAGGAAGTGCAGGGAGAACGGTGGATTGGAAGAGTTAGCACTCACCGTGGTTCCAAGCTTCTTTGGGCAGTTCTCTATCACGGTCGTTCCAAGCCTTTTTGGGCAGTTCTTCCTTAAGAGAGAGAGGTAAGATATTTTTCATGATTTACTTTTTGGAAAAAATGTATATAAAGATGCTACCTTATAAAAGTTTGTTGATGGCTTTGACATAATTTTTACATTTTAGAATTTCAAAATTTATAACATTTTAACTTATCCAACTTTTTGAACCTAATCCGATATATTGACAATATCTTTACATGAAATATTTTTACCAATTTATCCGATTTTTTTATCGGACTTTTTAAGCAAAACCGATTTTTTCTTGATTTTAATATAAACCAATTATTGAAAGTCCCCTACTTGCTAACTATAGTCGAAGGTAAGCTGCATAGAAAGTGTAATCTTGAAATTTTTACAATTTTCCCAGTTTAAACCCGGAAACTTGATTTTTAAGAACTTCAAAAAATTGCAATCATTATAATCAAACACAATACCTCTTTTCCCAATAACGCCGTAACTTTTCCCAATAACGCCATAAGTTAAAAAGGAAGGCTACCTAATATATATTATTTTTTGTATTTACTTTCATTTTTGTTTTAACTTCTCTCGTTCAAGGAACCGAGTCAATTAATGTAGTTGATCTCTATAAGATTAAGATACGAAACATCCATACCAATATCATGCTCGTGCATCCCATAGGCTGGTAACCACTCGAAACTTATCTCTCTTTAGGGAAATCCATTTCATAAGCTCCAAAATATTAGGATTTAACCTCCTCCAATCCTAGTTCATTCTCTCTCCCTTTCTTTGCTTACATGCATTGAACAGCTGTGGTTACTTATCTTACTATTGAATAATCCTAGTTAACTCGGCGAAGAAGCATCCATCAACCATTTGCGGCTCCGGTGAGCAGCAAACACCATCAAGTATCAACGAGCAGTGAGTAGCAACTTTGGCGACCATCCCATTGTTGCGGTCGTATCCGGCATGTAGAGTATGGCAGAGACCATCTCCGATAACTTTCTCTAGCAAGTGGCGAATTCGTGCCTTCTCCTATTCTCTGTTTCCTCTTCGGATGATTGTCCTTTTGCTTTCCTCCCATAAATCTCAATCTATTGTTGCATATCGGTAGGTTTCTGCCTCAGATATAATGTTATTAATCTAGGCTTTTTCCTAGGAGATCTGATTCCTGTCCTTTTTTTCTGGTTCCTTTGAGGCCAGAGGAACCTCAAAGACCAGATATAAGTGTCAAAAATATAAATCCTAAAATTTGACAAATTGACATTACTATCACCGGTCGGTCGGTCGGTCGGTCTCTCTCTCTCTCTCTCTCTCTCTCTCTCTCTCTCTCTCTTTTCTGTTAGTTGCCATTGTTCATTACTATCACCGGTTGGTCAGTCACAATTGCTTATAGCCATCCGATGTGAAATTCGATAGTTTGAATGCGTCACAAAATTCATTCGTTTGGAACTTTGAGCTTGGTCAATGAAATAAATGCAGCCACCCAATTTCACATCCCATATTCAAGACCAATTGTAACTACCATGCACCAAAGGGAAATGATCTCATTAAACACTTTCCCCTCATTCAGTACTAGACACTTTCTTTTCCTGTTTACGGCTGGCAAAATAGTAAGTTCTCCCATATCTGGTAAAAATCTAATCCGATAAAGGCCTCCTTTACACCAACTCTCACACAAACACACATCCCTACCAACAATGAAGCTTGAGCTGCACTTCAGCTCAAATTTCACCATTTGTCAACTACAGCAGAAGACAGTCAAGATGACATGAATCATCTGTAGCTTCGGTACACGCATCATAGGATACATTAACTGCACATGCAAACACATGCACACACTATTCTGGCACACCTTATGCGAAATTGCAAAAGGAAACCCTTGCCTAAATCTCTTTTCCAAGGACGCAAGGTTATTCTCAAATGCTCTTTATCATATAGAATTGACTATCACAATCTATTTAAAGCTTGTCACTCCTAACAAATAGCCAAAACAGTTCCGGACAACAACAGCCTCACTCTAAAAAGCTTTTGCATGTTTTAAGCAACAAAATTAACGTGATCTTCAAAAAATTTCTCGCTAATTGGAAAATCAAAAAAAACAGAAGTTTAGTTATTTTACAATGTAAACTCACATAGACATGAGCTTGGGACCATTGTCAGGCATACCCATGCCCGCAGCCAACTCAGCATCCAATTGTGTATGCGGTGCAGGTCCCATCATTTGCTTCACACTGCATACCAAATAGGTGGTGCATCAGCACTAAAACATGCATAACTCAAGAAATTCAAACTCTATCGTTGCTCCCAAAAAGACTATAGTAAGTTCCAGCACTTTCAAAATAGGCATATCAATGGTTTATTATTAAGATCACATAAAGTCATGTCCAAATGTAGTAGAGATGTCTGACATTTATAAATGAACCTTTATTTTTTAATTAAAACCACTGGACCAATTTTATTTTATCTTTTATTCTTTTTTTAAAATGTTAATATTGTATTAAGATAGTGTAGGATTAAAAAGGCAACCCACAGTGTGGGAGCTCTATACAAAAATAGAAAGCTTTCTATGCTTCCCTTACAGCAGCATAGAAGTTCTATCCTCCTCTTTATCCAACCGTCCATTCTGAATGGAGGGCTAAGATTGCCCCAATCACAATGTCACGTCTCTACACTATTTTATTTTTAATTTTTTTTCTATGAATTATTGACACCAAATTTTGAATGTCCATTCCTCTATTAAACTCGCACTAACGAAAAATATTAAAAAAATATTTTTTATAGAATAAAATGACCAAAATACCCCTGAAAGTTTCAAGGGTATTTTAGTCATTACTTTTTACCAAAAAATTATTTTTAATATTTTTTATAGGTGCACCCCAATGAGAAGATGGCACGTATCAAATTTCATATTCAGAAAATTTAAAAAAACTAAAAATAAAATACTTTGCGACGTTGGATCTAATATCAAATGGTGAGTGGCTCTCTTGATCAAAATTGGACAGCTGGATGGTAGGGGGAGGATAGAACTTCTATGCTGTAGGGGAAGTACAGAAAGCTCTCCCATACAAAAATACAGACAGGCCCACGATCACAAAAAGGACGGAGGGAGCAGGCTGCTCAAAAAAATGCTATAAAGCATGATACAGGTAAAATAGCTACAAAAAGAATGGGTCAAGAGCACATGGGGATTGAGATCAGTGAGGGGTTGCGGCTATTCCCATTGTGCCATTCAAAAAGGGCTCCTCTAGCGAGATAGTCTGTCACCAAGTTTGGCTCACACCAGATATATGTTTCCATGGGACACACGTATCCCTGCAAATATGAGCAATTTCGTCAAAGGTGTGGAGCAGTCTCCAAAGGCAGGGAGAGGCCCGAAGCATAGGCTGGGTTGAAGTTCTTGAGGCCATCGAGGAGAGCGATGGCTTCTGCCGTAGTTGAGTAGACTTGTCCGATAGGAAGGGAGAAAGAAAAGAGTGTGTGACCAACATGGTCTCTAATGATGCCGCCAATTTCCGGTCAGGCTAGGGTTGCACAACGAGCTACTATCCAAATTGAGTTTGGATTGTCCTGGCTCAGGCGGTCTCCAAAGAGAATACCGAGAGATAGTAGCAGGCTACAAACAAAGGAAAGCCCGCCAACTTTGGAAAAAATGCACGGGAGAGAAGTGCTTGAAGTAGTTATGCTTGGTCGCCCAGAATATAACCAAGGAAAAGGACCCTGTCTTTGAGATCTTCGAAGATGGCTTTGGTTCCTAGGAACATCCTATTGTTTCTCTCCATCCATATCACCCACAGTGTAACTGCCACAGAGGCTCTCCAGAGGAGGATTCCTGATTTCTGCCAAGAAAGTGGGTAGAGGGAGCTGAAAAGGTGAGGGACCGAACAAGGAGTAACACAGGGCCTTTCAAAGTGTTGGCGTAGGCCCACAAGGCATGAGCTAAGTCAATAATAGAGAAAGAGGTGCTCGCTGTTTTCTTCCTCTGCTGAACACATTATACAACGATTAGGGAACGACAGCCCTCTTCTTTGAAGCTGGTCCATGGTTAGCGCTAACTCAGCTAGAGTGATGCAGGTAAAGACCTGAATGTTGAGGGGAATGAGAGTAAGCCAAGCTTTGGGGTAAGGAGAGGAGGAAGGTTCATGCGAGATGGGCAGTTATTGGAGAAGACAGTGAAAAGAGGAGACGAAGAATAGGCCCAAGGTATTGAGGGACCGGATGATTGTCTTCACCGTGGGTAGGGATGATTACGTCTTCACCAGGAATTCTTCCACTTCATTCTCCAGAAGAAGTCTCCTGAAATTGGGGATCCAGCTCCCGAAGGAATCCGTGAGCTCCATCAGGTTTACCACTAAGTCCTGTTGATTCCAGGACAGGAGATACAATCTCAGGAAGCAGTCCTTTAGGGGTGTGTCGCCTATCCAGACGCCCGACCAAAATTTGATCCTATTGCCTTCCCTGGGGTGGAAACGAGTGTTGGCTACGAAATGCTCAAAGCCACGAGAGATGGACCTCCAAGTGCCTGAAGTTCTGCTGGGAGTAGGGAATCTTTGGATCCAACTGAAACTATCGCAAAGATACTTGTGGCAAAGAACGGCTTGCCAAAGGTCATTGTCCTATGTGGCTAACCGCCACCACCACTTACTGAGGAGCACAAGATTGTTCAATTTGAGGCTTCGGATACCAAGTCCACCCAGGCGTTTGGGACAGTAAACACTTGTCTCATGATATGAGGTGGAACTTTTTGCCCCTCCTCCCCCCCCCATCCCCCACACCAGAGGAAATTTCTCGTAAGTTGTTCTAGACGGGACACTATTGCGGATGGCATGTGGAACAGGGACATTTGAAAGGGTAGCTTTGATCAGCCTGAGTCGACCCCCTAAAGAGAGGAACTACCTTTCCATCCAGTATGCTCATGATTGAACTTGTCAATAATGTGACTCCAAAGATACTTTTTGGGCTTGCTGATACACCAGGGTGGGCCAAAGTAGGTGGAAGGGAGACTGTCAACTTCGCATCCCCAGCAATCAACCAATTGGGGAATGATGTGGGCTTCGGTGTGTATTCCCAGCATCTTAGTTTTGGCCACATCAATCCTGAATCCGATAGCCATTTCGAAAAGTTTAAGGAACAGCAGGAGAGTGTCGGTCTGCTGGCCCATGGCGTCACAAAATAATAGGTTATTGTCTACGTACAACATAGAAATGGATCTGCTCAAAACTTCAACCACTACAGCGAACAGGAAAGGGAGAGTGTGTCTCCCTGTCTAAGACCCTTGGAAGAATTGAAGAAACCCGAGGGAGAGCCATTTATCAGGATGGAGAACATAGGGTTAGATATACAGCTGTGAATCCATTTCCTCCAACTCGTGCCAAAACCATTTTTAGGAGACTTTCGTCAAGAATGACCCCATCGACGTGATCGTAGGCCCTCTCCCAATCCAGTATGATGATCACCTCAGGTGTTTTAGACAAGTACCTAGAGTAAGATGTATTTGTATGCAATCAAAGTTCCATCGAGGATATGTGGTCTTTTACGAATGCCCCCGGGTTTTGGGATATGACCAGCATAAGGCCTCTCTCAGCCGAAGTGCAAGGGCCCAGAACGAGATCTTACAAGAGTTATTGATGAGGCTAATGGGGCGGAAGTCTTTTGAGTTCTTCAACCCCTTCCACCTCGGGAATCAGGGCAATAAGAGTTGCGTTCATGCCCTTGTGGATGATACCCCTTTCATGGAATCCTGCGAAGAAGGCAAGATGTATGGTTTGAGGGCATCCCAAAAGCTGTTGAAGGGAGCCACCAGCAAGCCGTCAGGTCCTGGGGCTCAATCTTGGGCCAAGGCTTGATCGCTTTAAGGATTTCTTCTTTCGAGAAAAGACGAGCAAATCCAGGGGAATAGGGTGGAAAGATAAGTCGGCCATCCTAGGCCCGCACCCGAAGGAGGTAGAGAACAGTGACTCAATGAACTTTAAGATCACTTGGTCGATGAAGGAGGACTGTCGAAGATATGATCCCCTACTTTAACCTGGTAGATAGAATTTATCCCGCCTCCAACACTCCTATGGAATAAGGCAGTGTTTTAGTCGGCGCATTTGAGCCATTCGACTCTAAACCGATGGTACCAGAAAATATCCTCCTTATAGAGGAATGCTTGGTGATCGATCCTGGCTTGGGTTCTGAGAAGGCTCTCCTCTGGGGATAGCATTCTACTCTCCTCTATGAGGTCGCGGTGTTGAATTGAATGGAGTAACTCGGTCTTCTGGGCTGGAAAGTTGCCAGGAAGATGGCATCTCCAGAGCTTTTTGAGAGAGTTCTTGAAAAGTAGTAGCTTACGTTGTAAGCAGAAGCTAGACCAACCTTGGGTCAAGTGTGCGAAGGAGGCCCGCCAAGAGGGTATTAACGATATGATATTAGGCTCCTTGAGCCCAACAAGTTCATAGCAGAAAGGGGAAGGTCCTCTGGTTACTTGTAGGGTATCTAGAAGGATAGGTTTGTGGTTGGAGGTGGTTTTAGGAAGGGCCATGGCACGAGTGCCAGGAAAAATCTCAGCCCAATCAGGGGTAGTGGGGAATATGTCCAGCTTGGAAAGGGATGGGAAAGAGGTGTGGTTGGGCCACGTGAAAGTGACCCCTTGAGGCGGAATGTCGATTAAATCATTCTGGGAGATGAAGTCAAAGAAATCCAACATTTCCTGGGAGATATGGCTGTTTGAATTTCTCTCAAAGAACCACCTAGTAATATTAAGGTCTCCCCCATGACACCTAGTTGAGGGAGGAGAGGAGGCAATCTCAATCAGTTCTACCCACAGTTGGTCCCAAAGGGCCGTAGAATTAGGACTATAGACCGCCGAGAACTTCCAATGAAGGCCATTGGAAATTCTTGTGAGGGCCCCAGTGACCGAGAAATTAACCACCCTAAAGGAAGAGAGAGAGTGGAGAGTTGGGTCCCAAATCACCCAAATGCCCTCGAGGCCCCTTGGACTTCCAGAGACACCCATTCGCAAGGTCAAGAGCCTCAAACTGGATGAATTTGGAGGAGAGAGGGGAAGGGAAGTCCGGAATCGAGGATAGGAAGCACCAAAGGCGAGAATTTAAGACTAAAAGCTCTAACGGACTTGCATTTATGGGGTTGCTTGAGACCTCGGTTGTTCTATACAAGCGCTTTCATCTAGGTGTGGAGTAAGAGGAGTGGGCACATTTGGGGGAGCCCCTCAATGACTGGCTAGAGGACGAAG